AAAAAAACTTCCAAAATCACCTTAGATAAACGGCAAAAGTCAACAGGCTTTTCAAAATCCAAAATACTGCCAAACAGGCGCTTTTGCATTTCGTTTCGAAACTAAATCATCCGCGCTCGTCTTGTCTGTCTCACTTCACTCTTCTTGTCAGTCAGCTGGACTCACTCTCCTCACTGGATAAATTAAGTCTGATCTGTGATGCGACTGTCGTTCGGCACGCTGCATTGAGCAGCCGCGTTCAGTTTTTAATTGTAGTGTCTGTTCTTTTACTGAACTAAATGATTTTTATTACTATAAAAAATCAAAACGACGGTGGGGGTCGGTGACGCGGTGGGCAAGTGACATAACCGGTGTTGCGGCTTAACACTAGTATCACCGTCAGCACCGTCTATCGCGGCAAGCCTAATGCATGGTACAAACCAAAAGGACCAAACATACTTAAAACGACTAGCTTTATTCTGATTGGATCGGACCTCTAAAATTAAAACAATGTACCTCCCCTAGTTGTCATGTAAAACAAAATGAGATTGGTCACTTCACATGACAGTCAAATGGTTTCTTCCTCTCTAAGTGTGTTTTTTTTTTTTTGGCCAAAATTGATCGCAGTAATAAAGATTTCATTGGAAGATTAATTAAAGATTCATAAGAAAGATAGATGACCTAACTACAAACTAGATAAAACTGTTCTTTTTTTATTATATACTGTTGTTTTATGTTGTACTTTATTTTATTCCATTCAGGGCTGTCAGTCAATTAAAATTTTGGTTACACTTTAAGGTGTCCCTGTTACAGTGTAATTATACATTTAAGTACAGAGTAATATTAATTAAGCACATGTGCTTACTATATGGTTAGGATTAGGGTTTGGCTTAGGGTTACTTGCATGTAATTATGCATAATTTATTGTTATTATAATAGGAAGTACAAGTAACGTGTAACAAGGACACTAAAATAAAGTGTTACTAAAAATTTTTATCTAATTATTTACATGGTGCAGCGATTAATTAATCAAACTAATCACTAAATAAATTTGGCTGTGAAAATACCCACAAAATATTATTTAAAGCTATTATTGTGTTGAAAGAGAAAGTATCAAGTAGACATTACAAATAGTACCCTTAGAAAGAAATATTTTATTTGATTCAACAAAACATTTGTTACACACAAACCTTTAGGCTACAACGGCCTAACATAAACTATGGAACATAAAAGAAGATCATTTGAGAAACATCTCCGCATTTTTTGTTCATGCAATGAAAGTCACTGGTAACCAAAACAGCTTTTATTCTTTTATGTTGCGCAAAGAAAGTACGTCATTCAGGTTTGAAATTACATGAGGGTGAGGAAATGATGGCAGATTTTTATTTTTATTTTACTTATTGTTTTGATGAACTATCCCTTTATTTATTTGTATTTATTTTTACTCTAAAGAAGAAACGAAAACTGCCAGCAGGTGGCGGTAAATGTCTTTATGAGTCATTCATTCATTCGATTCGTTCAAACGGCTGATTCATTCAGGAATGAAGTAAACGGCTCTCTTTATGAATGGGCTACTGAATCATTGTTTCACACGATTCGTTCAAAACGCAGATTCGTTCAGAAACTTAACACAGCTATGTTGCTCACAGATGCACAACAGTTCTGCTGTGGCTTTATAGGTGATATTTTCTTTAGCAAAATTGAGCAAAAATGCACAATATTGTGTTTAAAATAAAACAACATTAACTTCTTATTTACTGAACTGTTATAAAATCACATTTGCACTTGTGCTATTCGGACATAAACAGTGTGATATTGCTCTCGCTGCTCATGTTATATTGCTCATATCATGTGATATAAATATGAGACGAAAAAATCGTACAGGGGCATTTGTTTACCCCACTATCTTGAATTTTAGGGCATAACTGCATTTATGGAGTTGTTACCCAGCATTATATTTGTCAAGTCAACTGTATGAAATGTAAGATGATGTACAAGTCTGGGGGCGGGGCCAGTACGTTAACTGTGTTGAAATATTTTAATGATGTTAGTTTTTCATAACTAATTAGTTAACGCACTAAACTGACAGCCCTAATTAAAATCTCGTCAGGTTCATATGGAGGCACAGGACGGAGCGGTGTCCATGTGGAGTTCTCAGCGCTGTCCTTCTATTTCCGCTCATATGGTGACCTGGCGGCGGACGAGCTGGACGCGGTTTGTGCGTTTCTGCACGGCAGAGTGATGGCACAGGAGAGGACTCAGCTGTACCAGCTCAAAACCTGCTTCAAAGCCTTCCGCAGGTCTCACCACACACTCACCATGACTCAGCTCTTCTAACCATTTATGTCCTTTACTGTCTGAGTGTGTGTGTTGTGTTTGTGTGCAGCATTGCGTACCGTAACTGCAGTCAGTGTATGGATGATCTGGAGGAAAGCAGGAGCCAGGCTCTCAAAGAGCTGCTGCGCCATTATTTCGACAAGAGGAGAAACCTGGACCTGAGCAAACACTATCAGGAGGAAGAGGAGGACGAGGAGGAAGAGCTCAACAAATGCAAGGTGTGACTCTTTCACAGTTTCGTTTATGACGTGAACTCTCATTTCTGTCTCTGAATCCTGTTGTTGTACTGTGTCCTCAGATGAGGGACTGGGAGGCTCAGATCTGTGCGGACATCAGAGGCTTCCTGTCCAATCGCAGCGATGAGAAGTTCTCCGGTCGAGCCGTGGCCAGAATCTTCCATGGCATCGGTTTGTTTCTAGTGACATTTCGCTCCCCCTGTTGTCTTTTTTTTTTTTTTTGGGGGGGTATTTCAATATGTGTTTCTGTGCCCCCACAGGAAGTCCGTGTTATCCAGCGCAGACGTACGGACGTGACCGAAGATACTGGAGGAAATATATTCAGTTTGATTTCAATGAGATCATTCGTTTAGCTACACAGGAGATCATTAGAACGAGGTAACATGATCTCACGATGCTAGAGTCTGAATTTATTTATTTGTGCTGTTTGTCACTCTTTTAAATGTTCACATGTTTTGTTTTATAACTTTATATACAATAAAGACTGTTTTCCAGAGTTTCTGGTGAATCAGGGTGATTTGTAAACACAGCAGTTGTATTTGCTCGGTCTGTCCTGTAGTGGGCACTATTGTGCTGTTTTTGTTTTTGTTTGTCAGATACATTTTAGAGTAAATTTATACACCTGTTGTCTTTTTTTTTTTTTTGGGGGGGTATTTCAATATGTGTTTCTGTGCCCCCACAGGAAGTCCGTGTTATCCAGCGCAGACGTACGGACGTGACCGAAGATACTGGAGGAAATATATTCAGTTTGATTTCAATGAGATCATTCGTTTAGCTACACAGGAGATCATTAGAACGAGGTAACATGATCTCACGATGCTAGAGTCTGAATTTATTTATTTGTGCTGTTTGTCACTCTTTTAAATGTTCACATGTTTTGTTTTATAACTTTATATACAATAAAGACTGTTTTCCAGAGTTTCTGGTGAATCAGGGTGATTTGTAAACACAGCAGTTGTATTTGCTCGGTCTGTCCTGTAGTGGGCACTATTGTGCTGTTTTTGTTTTTGTTTGTCAGATACATTTTAGAGTAAATTTATACATTTATAGCCTACTACATGTATACTAAACAGTCCCAAACAACAACATATATTAACTTTTATAATGATTTGTATAATACAAAATTAATCACAGACGCACGTCTACCTTGATTAGATGCTTATGTTTTGTGTGGTATCCTACTGTAATTACAGGCGGCACATATGAATAAAAAAACCAACTCCAATCATCCTTAAGTGTGCAGGAATTTCTTAATTTATATTTTATTATTACTATTTTTTCTATTTGTATGACTGGTTGACAAGAGCAAATCATTTAGAAACAAATAAAAAAAGTAACAATTCTTTGTTGCAATAACAAATGATAATTTGTCATTTTAATATAGAACCATAATATATTTATAATATATTTATTTTTATATTTATATCAAAATTAAAACTTAGAATGCTGAGAAAAATATATATAAAATCCCCAAATGCATCGGCTTTATAATGGTTCTTAAAAAAAATACTTGCCAGTTGAGAAGATAAAACGCATCATTTCTTTTTTTTATCAGAAATCAGCTAATATTTATTTCTGTTAAATATGAACTCTAATGAAAATATAGTGTTTGGGAAATGTATCAAAAGCAGTTTCTCAATATAAAGTTTTGTTGAGTCTGTGTTGTTGAATAGATCAGAATTTCCACGTTAATGACTGATGGTCTGAACTGTAGAAGAGTCTTCCTCATTTTTCAGTGCAAGGAAACAAAGTGTTGCGTGTCAGTTACATGTGTTGTACATGTGTACTTCACATCAGCTCGTTCAGCTCAAGTTCAATCCATTCAAACTCACCTGTGCTTCACATTGTGTGGACAGAATATAACTGAGACAGACAAACTTTATATAAGAATAGTTCATTCAGATGTTTGGCATCATTTACTCACCTTCATGCCATTGCGATTGATAGATGCATCATAGATACATAAATTAATCACAAGGTTCATTTCTGACCCTGATACAGACAGTATTTCAGAGTAGTGCCTTAATACATAGTTAGCTTTCTTACTGCGTAAATACCATTAAATTATTATAAGTGGCATTCTTTTTAAAGGTTTTTTTCAAGGTTTGCAGTTATTTCACTGTATTTTAAATTGGGTGTGTACTTGTGATATTTCAGAGACACCAGTCATTGTGTCTCATCATCTAATGAGCACTTTTAAGTCATGTGAGTCAGAATCAAATGAAACTTCAGCATTTCAAGTTTGAAGACGAGGCAAAATTATTGGCTTTACCACAGCGCTTTCAGCCCTGCAATCTCGAACATGACTAATAATACACTCGCATACATAAGACCATAATGCTGACTAGACTCTTTACATAACGTTTATGAAAGACTATGAGTGAATATTTTCAGGCTAGGACAAAAGCTACAGATCACCATTAGTTTATTTATTCACAGATTTAATCACTACACATCATGACAGAAACTCACTTCATATTAGCAGAATTTCATGAATCAGTAAAATCCATATATCAAGTGTATCTTATAGTACGTTTTTAACCCAATTTCCTTGTTACAATACAACACAGAAACAACTTTTACAGATTACAATTAACTAGTTAAAAATGCATTTAAATTGAAGGACAGGAGTCTTATGAGAAAGTGCGGATGGCCATAAAAAGTCATTTATCTACTGTAAATAAAGTGATTTGCATGGCTGATTTATCGGTTGTAAATGGTTATTTCTAATTAGACTTAAATGTGAAAATCTGAAGAAAATGTGAGTGGTGTTTTAAAAAGTATTACAATAATATTCTTGAAAATAATCTTAACAAATATGCAATTCTAGTAATTCTGTTCCCAATAAAAAATGAAGTATTAAAAATAAAAACAAGGTTTTAAAAATATTCCATTTCAAAGCATGGCAGCACTGAATTGTGCTTATATTTCCACTGTTTAAATGACAATCACATAAACATGTTCAAGGAAGAAAATATGATAATGCACAAGTACGATCCTGCATCATTTCTTAGATTCCTATCTGATCTTCATATAAAGACAGGAGTAATAAAATCCCCCATCCAGTCAACAGGCCCAGATTCTGCAGCAGAAATATCAGCCACGGCTTTTTACTGTCCACATGAATCATAGATGGAAGCTAGACAGGAAAATTGAAGTTGAGATCATTGGAGTACACTCAAATACTTCAAATGTTTATGTTTCACATTACACACTCTGAAAGATGCAGGAAATTACCATTTTTACAAGTTTTTACTTAAAGGGACAGTTCACCCACAAATGAAAATTTGTGTCATCATGTAGACCTTTAAGTTGTTACAAACCTCTTTCTTTGAAGAATGTTGATAAGTTGACGGTAGCCATTAACTTCCATAGTAAGGAAAAAAATACTATGGAAGTCAATGGCTACAGTCAACTGTTTGGTTACCAACATTCTCCAAAATATGATGCCAAAATTTTCATTTTTGAGTGAACTATCACTATCTATAGTTTATATCTTATTATTTTGTTTGTATCTTGCAATTCTTCAGAATTGTGAGGAAAAAAAAAAATATTACCTTTTAATTTTTTGTTGTATGGCAGAAACCAAAAATCAGAAGTGCATGATGTCAACTTGGAATTTTGAGGAAACAAAGTCAGAATTGTGAGTTTTTATATCTCACAATTCTTTCTTTTTTTCTCAGAATTGCGAGAAAAGAAATCGGAATATTTTATTAAATGTTTTTATTTATTCATATTTTTTATTCCGCAGCAGAAACAGGCTTCCATGTACCATATAGAAGATGAGGCTCACAATCTGCACAAAATATGGCAGCTACTTGTGTCGTTTTGCTCTGTTAATGAGAAGAGTTACAAAAGAAGGCAGAAAGTATTAAACGTACCATGTCTGCGAGGCCGATGTAGAGGAAGAAGCCGGCGGTGACGGCACAAATCCACTCCTCGGTGATGCTTTGAGTGGAGACGGACAGTGCGACGTACAGGCCGATGAAGGAGGTGAGAGCGCTGCCCACGTTCAGCAGCAGAGCCTTTCTCACCGACAGACCGCAGTGCAACAGGATCGCAAAATCACCTGCCCAAACACAAAAACAGCCTGTCAGAAATGTGTCTGTATGACATTTCACAAGTTCAAACAAAGGAATCCTAATTATTTCGCATCATGAAAAAGAAGCATATAACAGGCCCGGTGCCATTAGTTTTCTTTGTTGTTTTGATTAGTCTTTTAGCTTATTAGCTTTTATTTTCTAGTTGTTTTTAATGCACTTTTTGTGGCTAGATTAGAGTTTCTTTCGAGTAAACGTATCTCACCTAACTCGTGTGGCAGCTCGTGACACAAAACGGCCAGCGACGTCGCCAGTCCTGAACGCCACGACACGGAGAACGCAGCACCCATGGCCAGACCGTCCGCAAAGTTATGAATCCCGTCACCAATGGTGATCATAAACGGCAGCAGACGCTTCCCTGAGAGACATGAGAAAGATACACACTACTGTTCAAAATCAGAAATCACATTATTCAATTACAAAAATCACCTGCAGACGAAACGGAACTAAAAATAATCCTGCAAAATGAAATGAGATATATATACACGTGTGTGTGTCACCATTTACATTTTATAATTTCATTTAATACTTTTATATTTTATAATACTTATATAATAATCGTATACAATCTAAATAAATATTAATTACATATATAATAATAATCTCATCTTTTTTCACCTTTAAAATTTTTTTAAATGAGAATCTTGCTTGTCATGAAAATAAACAGCTCTATTCATAAAAACTATAATAGTATCTCAATAATCCTAAAATAACTATTTACATCAGTGTTACATCACCTTTTACAACCTCATAGTGTGTGTAAATGTTACTTTACTAACAGGTCATTTTACTCCCTTAAATGTGTGTCATGTTACATCACAAACATGTCGTTAACTCTAATTATTTACAGTCATGGCTTAGATGTGTCTAACGCTGACTCCTGACAGCATTCACTGACCTCGAGTGCTGCTAATCGGCTCCAGGAGGGACTTCTCGTTGTTTTGCTCATCCACCTAAAATCAGGACAAACTGACAGCGTTACAAAACTGATGATCACAGAGGAAGACTGAGATGAATTCAGGGATATTTCTGCACTGATAAGCTCCGAGTTTGATGGTCAAAAAAAAGACTATAATTATACACAATGCATGATTTATATGCATATTCAGGATTTTTGTCTTGATTTTTCAGTACAAATCTCTAAACATATACATACGATTGCAATTGCGAACAAAATAAATACTGACGTCTGAATTTAATGGTCAAAATAAATCAGACATGTTATGGACAAATATTATATACACGGCAAAAAAGAACAATTAAAAAAAGAGAGAAGTCCACCAATGAAACCCACATTTTCGTGTCTAAATAGGACTAAAACTAACCTAACCTAGAAAACTAGGTAAAATTGGGTAAATATTAATTCATTAATTAACAATGAACACCAACATTTCTGATTCACGTAGCAATCAAATCTCAGACTATTGTCTGTAAATCCTGCAATGACCTCTTATTTCCAACAATTACTGTCTGGGTTTGTGAAACATGATTTCAACTGACCTCCTCAGGGAACACTAGCTCCGTCCATTTTAGTGTGTTTGTGTAGTGATTTGTAACATAATAACTTCTTCATTCACACAAAGAAGACTTTCTCACCAGCTCGTCCTGTGAGGTGGAGTCGTTGTTTCGCTGTGTTCTCCTGCTCTGGAACATCTGCAGAACTTTGCTGTGGTTATGAGGGTCAGACTCCTGCAGCAAACAGACAACAGAGGTCATTTACAGCAAAGACAGACCCTATCTATATTCGAAAGGATTTTAATAGCATATATCATTCATCTGATTTGTATGACTTTTTTCAGAGAAATATGGCTTGACAGTATTTTCAGATGTAACTTTTTTGATAAATGTACGGTGTCTGAAGAAATTTGACATCACTCACTCCATCATGATGATGACCATGTCGAGTGATGATGGCGAAGATGGTTTCCATCAGAAAGAAAACATAGATGCCCCCAATGACCACCAGGGGCTTGTAAATATAGTCGAGGTTCTCTTCCTCATGACTGTGTCTTTCTTCATGCGCATGAAGACCTAAGAACTACACAAACACAATCAGTCACAAAGCAATGAAATCTAAAGGAATGGTTCACCCAAAAATTAACATTTGCTTAAAATGTACTCACCCTCAAGCCATCCAAGATATAGGTGAGATTGTTTCTTCATCAGAACAGATTTAGAGAAATTTAGCATTACATTACTTCACTTGCTCATCAATAGATCCTCTGCAGTGAATGGGTGCCGTCAGAATGAGAGTCCAAACAGTTGATGAAAACATCATAATAATCCACAATTAAGCAAAAGGTTGAATGTTTGTAAGAAACAAATCCATCAAGGCATTTTTAATTTCAAACTTGCTTCCAGCTATCTATAATATTGGTTTCTCCAGTGAAAAAGTTGTCTCGTCTGAATCAGGGGAGAAAACAGTCCAAAACGGTTCTTAAAAAATATGTCAGAGGATTTTGATGTGAGAGGACAACAGGGGATGAACTGTTTCACTGCAGGATGTGTATGGATTATGGTATTTTGGCCAGAAGCGATGGTTTCAAGTTAAAAATCCACAGCTTTTCACAAGACGTTAATTGATGGTCTGGAGTGGTGTGGATTATTGTAATGTTTTTATCAGCTGTTTGGACTCTCATTCTGACGGCACCCATTCACTGCAGAGGATCCACTGGTGAGCAAGTGATGGAATTATAAATATCTCCAAATCTGTTTCAATGCAGAATCAAACTCATCTACATCTTGGATGACCCAAGGTTGAGTACATTTTCAGCCAATTTACTGTACTCTTACTGTTGTTTATTTCCACTCTGTTGCAATTAAATGAAGACATTTCTAAGCCTTTTTTGCCGGCTGCTCACCATAGGAAGTAGATGCAGAAGAGCGTCACCCGTGAGGGATCCTACAGCCAGACTGATGCAGAACTGGATGCACATCTGAAACACTTGCGTGCACCTGGAGAACAGCAGCACCACGATCCCAAACATGGCCATCAGACAGACGATAATGTTGGCGAGAGTGGCATATCCATATCCTGGGCACAAAGGGCTTATTCAGTGATTGTATAAAGAGATCACTATATCACAGGTATGCCGTCGTTCAGACTGGTTTTTGTACCAGCATAGACCAATAATTACCTTGCACAGACGTCTTTGTTCCCTTTGTTCAAGTGAAACCATATTTAATATAAATTTTTTCTGTTTTAAGGTTTTGAGTAAATGTTTCATGTTCATTCACTTTCTGTCATTTTGAATATTTTACATAAACATATACACACAAAACAACAGTACTAATGTATATTGATGTTTGTCACTCTCATCAAATTAAAATGGCTTTACATAATTAAAAAATACATACTGCAGTTCATAACATTTTCCATCAGGTCAACTACTGCCATAGCAGAGAAACGGATTGAAGAAATCTTGTTGTGCTAATTACTGTAGTTCAAGTTATATATGTTTATAGCAGCTACCAGTTGAATGGCACAGACATTTGCAGATTGCACCTTTTGGTTTGTTACTGCTCATTAGTTTAGACTATGTTTCTGGACTTTGCCAATATTCACAAGTCTAGCTATGCTATGCAACTCGGACTAATTGTTGTCTGATGGTGTAAACAGAGGTCACTCACTCTCAGCGGTGCTCAGAGAATCAGGGGTCATGTGGGTGAAAGTGATCTCAGAACAGCTTCCACTGAGGATCTGCTGAATCAGAGCAGGACTGAGCTGTGTGAACTGATCTCTGGTCAGCGATGAAGAGTTCAGCTGGTAGATCCTCAGAAGGTCTTCAGCGCTAAAACACATCTGCAGGCAAAACAACCAGAAGCAATCTGAGACATGCATATATTACTTTTACTTTACTTTTAGTCATTTAGCAGACGCTTTTATCCAAAGCGACTTACAAGTAAGAAAAAGTTATTAAAACTAAAAGCTAAAACTCTATAAATACTATATATATACACACATTTAAGAAAATAAAAGAAATTAAATAAAAATGACAAATGCATACAACAACATTTCAAAACTAAAACATTTAAATGAAAACAAAAAAATAAAGCTAAAAACAATTCAAAAAAAATATTAAAAGAACAAAAGGTATGAGTATAATAATGATTCTAACATAACACTAAACCAAACACCAAAAAACAACTACATATGTGCATGTACAGCCACACACATATACAT